CAGGCTACATACAAACCACACAAGCTACGTGTGAATTTCATACAAACCTCAGAAAACTTTTGTGACACATTTGCAGCTGCTAGGACAACTTCGCCAGATGTCAGGTGCAAAAAATGATTATTGAAACCAAATGAAGTAGATACTATTTATTAGTTCTTTTCTTCCTGAAAAATTCAAGTTCAATTTTGGATACCTGTGGGTTTTCATCTTTGTTTCAAGTTAATCAAATTTAAAGATCAACATCAATCTAATAGATATGTTATATAATAAATATACAGTATATATATATCAGCAGATACTTAAAGAAATGGTATTAGATTGGTAGATTGTAATCTGTAAATTCCTGAAAATTTCAATGCAAAATAGAACGTAAATAAATGAACATGTTTGGCAACATTTTTCTGGGCAGTGAGGAACATATATATATATATCTTTGATATTCTACCTTATGTCAGGTAAGCGCACAAAAAAAAATAGATATACAAATGCAGTCACAGTTCCCTATGTTCGGATGTATCACTCCATCATCATACCTTGGGTTTTTTTTGCTCTCATTTTTGAAAAAAATAAATTGTGGTTTACTCTTCTTTTTTTTATGAAAGGTTTCATGGAGCAAAGCTTTCAGTAATATGTTTTTCACATTGCCATCTGATAGTTTCTCCTTTTTCACATGCAGGGTTCAAAACATTTAGAGTTATTTAGTTTTTTTAAAATCACCTTACTAAATCTAAAAATAAACCATATGTAAATAATTAAATAAAGAAATAAATTAAAAATAAATAAATAATATATATATATACGTATATATATAAATATATATATAAAGGGAATATGGTTATATATGATTGTAATATTCTCGAAACTATGTAAAGCACGAGTAATGTACCATAAGAACAGCTCCATTTATAATTTCAAGCAGATTTTCAAAATAACTAACGCTAAATATTAACGTTCCAACTCACAGAGCGTGGATTTTCATCCAATCCATCTATAGTATGCACTCATGCATACTACCTCTAAAGCCTCAGGAGGCCCAAAAAAAATGTGAATGGTGACTTTTGCTTCAACAATCATAGTTGTGACGAAGTATCTAAACACTTCTAAATGGTTTCCTTAATGTTTTGATTTTAACCAGCTTGAACATCTAGACCTACTTTATCATATAATAAATGTAGTCATATAAATTTACAATTTGAACTATATATATATATTTTTTTTCATTTAAGGGGATGTATCAAAAAGAAGGGTGCCCGAAACTTTAAAAATTAAGCCTAAATGCAAAATTTTTCGCCCTCCCTATTTTGTGACATGCCCTATTTTCAGACACACAAGTAAATATTTAATCAAAAAGCAGTAAATGATCCTATGTGACAAAAGTAAATACAAAAAACCTTTCACAAGTAATTAATTTAGTTTATTTTTCATTTGCATGCAGCCACTTTTTAATTTTTTAAGCGGAAAAAAACATTCAAAATTGTAAGCTACCAATGCCTTCGGCCAAATGCTAGGTTAAAGCCAAAGGATTAAACAATACACAAGTAACAATACTATCCCACAAGTAATATTAATTAGACACAAGTAAGTCCAGAACAAGCAAGCGTGAAACTTTCACAAGGAATTTGATTCCATCCACAAGTAACCACAGCAGAAAGATATCACAAGTAAGCTCTTTTTCTGTCATATTTCGTGATTTTCGAAACTAAAACCTACACAAATCACAGCACATCCCATCAAATTTCATAAGCAACCCAATCTCTTAATGTCAAAAATTAAATTGTAAAAGAACATCTTTAAAAAAAACGAGAAAAACTACATCCCCAAAATAGGTTGCAACCTAAATTTGCACCTAAAAAATCAGGTTCATTTTTTTCGAACCTAAAGCGAAAAGTAAGCCTAAATTTTTGAAATGTAATTTTTACTAATTTCCAAGACTCAGGGTTCTTCTTTTCTTTTGGACTAGGAGATGCTGACTTGCTGGTACTGCGAGGCCTACCTTTACCTTTCCCTTTGGTATGTTGCTTCGGTTGTGGTGAGGGTATGGAGTCGCAGGGTCGGACTTTGCCTTCGGCTTTGCTTTCGGCTTCTCCTTCGCCTTTGGGTTCGCACTGGGATGATTGCCAGGCTTTGGTACCGGCGTAGCCGGCGTGAGGGCTGTAGGTTTTCCGGTCAGACTCACGTGCATACTTGTCACGGGCTGCAGTGTGCTTGTCCTCCTTCGTCCTCGCAATGGCCCTTTCAATGACGTTTCTCAGATGCCGATACGTCTTTCGATTGTCACCTTCATCCCATGATTCGTAGTGCTTGATGTCAAACATTAATAAGTGGGAATTCCTGATCTTCTTGTGCAGGCTGTCACGCAACCAGTCATCGGGTGGCGTGTCTTCAGGCAACATGTTGTTCGTCATCTCCATCCATTTTTGGTAGAACTGGTCGATCTGGTTGGTTCCAAAAGACTGCATCTTTACCACATGCTGCATAGTAAAGAGTGTGTTCCGCACTCCCCGTGTCCTAAAGTGGTTGAGGATCATGGCAAGAATCTCCCTTCCCATCACGAACCCGGCGTTCCTCTCAGCGGCTTGGGTCCTATGTCAACACTGCATTGCCACATCCCTAGCGGCCTCTCCAGCTTGAGTGATCACACTGGATACTGGACAGCGCTATAGACAGCTTGGTGTCAATCTATTGGAACCGTGCTCCGCCGCTATCGTTCAATGCATCCAGGTCTGGTCTGGGTTCTGTTGCAGGAAGTATCCGCTCTTGCCACGCCGCCCTATCGCCATCGTTGGCAGCAAGGTCTTGGAGCATCAATGCCCGAAAAGTTTGATTGCGATGCTGCATCATCCTGTACAGATCCTCTCAATTCGCAAGAAGGTCGGCCACTGTAGGCGCTGATGTTCCTGGAGTCGCACTCCCAGCGGGTGCCGCTCTGTCTGGCTGAGCAGGTGCAGCTCCGGCGGTACCGGTGGGCGCACTGCTTTCGCTTCGACCCCCACTTCTCCGCAAAAGCACGGCCACTTCTTCCACCTCTTGGTTGCACGCATCATCCACTTGGCGATAGTAAGATCTCGTAACCGAATGCCTGTCACTTTCTGTCTCAAGTTCAGACCGCAACTGCATGATCCTATTTTCACTACTTTCATGATGATTGATTCCAGCAGAGAAAGAAAGGTTATTGGGGTTGTTCTTTTGCTGTTGTTCTATTTCACATTCCATCATTGATAGCTTAGCCTTCAGCATGGAAATTTCCCCATCCTTTCCTCTGACAGCTTCACATTTGTCGTTTTGGTCCTTGTTTGCCTGCCAGATCTTCTTGTCCTTCTCGTTCAATGCCACGAGGTTCGATTTCTTTTCGGCCTGTAGCTCCGACTTGTACTTATCGAGGTTCATATCCGACTACAAAGGTGCAATCTTCGCAGTCATCTCGTTCACCTCGTCCTTGAGTCGGAAGTTCTCCTTGGCATACTCGTTGGCTTCTTCCACCAGATCACCTTCTGGATCTCCCTGATCTTGTTCTCATCCTCCAATGTGACTCTATCATCGGGTGCCTGGCGTTACTGCCGGCGGTAGGGATCGCCCCGGCACTCGGCCTATTGGGATCTTTGTTGATATACTCTTACAGCTTATTCCAGTAGTCGTTGCTGGTAGCGGCCTCGACCTTCAGCATGGCTTCAAGTCGTGGTATTGGACCCTTCAGGTCAGATGTTTCCTGGGCCCCCAGCATAAAATCCGCAAGTGCCTGAGTCTCGCTTTCCTTGGCCTTTTCACAGTTCAATTCTGCTTCATTCAGGAGGGTGCGAGCTTTGTGATCACTTTCTAACCGTTATCTAACCTTTGTTGATTGGCCTCACTCACCGAATGCTACGCTGTGCAAGTCCCAGTGAATGACGGGATGCTTCTACCTCACTTTGTGATTCCCTCAGTTCCATGGCAGTAGATTGACTCACTAGTTGCAAATCAACATTCGGTGATGTCACCATTTCAGACTGTTTTCTGAAGTTCATGATTGAAAGTTCCATGTTCTTCTGCATTTCCCTACCTTCTGGTTCTTTCTGCGCTCCAGCTCTTCGATGCGCATGGTGGAACCTTCGTCGTCTTGGGCAGCGACCATGAGTTCAGCTTGATATTCCCTTACCTCTGTAGCTGATTGACTTAGCATTCCATTTAGTGTGCTAAACTCACTGTTGACGTTCTCGTGGTATCCTCTTAGTCTTAGGTAGTCAGTGAACTTTACTTCAATGTCATTGATGATCTGATTCCTCGGTGCTAGCACTTCTTCAAGTTGCTCGACTCGTTCTTCCAACAAGCTGTTTGTCATGAGTTCGACTTCACTCCCACCTTGAGATTCCCATACTTCGTCATGTGCAGCTTTTATGTCCATTTCATGATCAGGTCCTTCTGTTTTCCGTTTCCCTGGAATGTCCCTAGTCCTGGCAGATCGGTCCTGGATTGCCTTAGGGGCCCCTGATCGTGTAGTAGTCCTTCTGGGCGTTCGATGTCCTCGTTGGGACGGTCACCAGTCCCAGGTGATGATTGATTGCCACCATCAGCGACTGCGACAGTGTTGTTGCCAAACGTGTAGTTGGTGTCCGCGCTGCTGCGGCGCATCTTTCTCAATGAAGTTGACTGGATTCAGTTTCAAGAGTCGTTCTTCTCCTTGGGGGCTGTTATGCAGCACGTACGCCACTGGCCTCCGGAGGAGGTGGCAAAGGCAATACGGCTGATAACCTGCGAACAAATAGACCTCTGTTCCGGGTGTGCTGTGTAACCTTCTGTTTCCACTTGGCGCCGTGCTAGTCAATGAACAAGCCCTTGCTCAACGGCATGCAGCAACGGAAGCTGCGAACTCTCTTTTGTCTATCGATTGGCGGACTTGAGCCATTGTGCGTCAGCATGTCATCTACACTCAGACTCATGCAAACCTGACTGTCGCCGGCATCCCTTTCGCACAAAGCTTTCCGGCTTGATCATGCATGGTGCTAGCCATAATATCTGAACTGAGCGACCTTCGTCTGGGAATCCGGATTCAGCAGATGGAATGAGTTCGGTAGACGGCTCAGCAACAATGGGGCGTTGATCTTCATCCCCACAGTAGCCCGACTGTCCCGCACATTGCAATCTATATTCAGTAACACGGAGATCAAAGCAACGTCCTGGCGGAACGACTTGGAACGATTGAGATTTTGGAGGAATTGATGCTGGGAGACATGAATATAATATACATGAACAAGATGTGGCCAAAGGCATCGGTCAAAAGCCGACAGATTTCACGCATCCAAGCTCAAATTGATGACGATCAAGGCAAATACTTCGACACTCGAAATCATGAAACCAATCTTTCAACATCTTTCAACCCCAAATGGATCTTGATTTTCTTGATGTTCTTCGGCTGATCTCCTCAGTGCCAAGTTGATGAGAAATCCAGCTGCCAGCCACCACACTCAAGGTGCCACCAAACATGCCACCCGGGTTGGGCAGCATCTGGTAATCGACCACCAGTTGACCCAGGGACATCGGGGGAATGTCCACCTCACACTGGGGGACAACATCTGACACCGTACTTAACGTACTTGGTGTTGCTGTGACATAGCATGAAACCACAACAAAGCGACGACATGTCTCTGTGAAACAAAGGCATCAAAAAACACACCATATTGGCTTTTCCGGGATATCCCATGATATTCTTTTCGGAAAAGTCCACTCATTGGCCTTTCCAAAATCAACGAATTTATCGGATTTCTCTCACAACAGACTCTGTATGTGCTCTGTTAATGACTCATTAATGACCTCTTACGATCTCTTACGAACCTTGTGTGCCAGGTTGGCCCGCAGAAGTTCGGAGCCATCAAGGACCGCACTGGCGGTTAAGCTATGCATCACAAATCTGTCATCCGTGGGGTT